AACAAGGTTTCAATAAAAAAACTATAGTGATTTGGGGACATTATAAAAATTGAATGAAAACTACCTTGAAAATCAAATCACTTGAGTCCATGATTTAACTGCTTGAAACACATTGATCTATATTGTAGTCCAGAGTGCCTAACAATGACCACTTATGCCTCTTAAAGCCAAAGACGTCTGAGAGACAGAACCACATATTGACACCTCAACAATGCTTCTCCAACAATCAATACAAGTAAGACGCGACCAGCTCTGCAGAAGGAAACTGCTCTCTTTTTATGTTTTCAGAAATTAGAGGAATGGGATGTGCCTTCACAAAAGAGACTCCAGGAATTGAAAATCTTAAGTATTTGTAAGTTTTATGTCTTTGGGAATAAAGACTACTCAAGGAATGGTTGAAAGCGAGGTGTCCGTTTGTTAACTAGAAAATGTTTGAAGGAAGGAATGCACAGAAGCATTCTTAGGTGGACACTTTTGCTTCACCTGAAGAGCAGATAGCGCCGTGCTACACAGGTGGCCGTGTTAGTCTTAATGGACAGCTGAAATGCTGAAATGCACAGCAGGACAGCAGCCTCCTGGGCCTAGTAACAAGAATGCAGTTCACTATGGAAAATTAAAATGCATCACCCACAGATGCATGAAGGAAAGCTTGGGAAATACGTTGTATAAATGCTTCACACAGAGAAAACACATTTAAAGATGAGAATTAGGTAAGGATCTGTGATCCTATGGAGGAAATAAAGCTTATTAATATGATAAGCGGGATAAAAGGTTCCATTTGAGTTCATACCTTCAATTCAAAGGACTCACACCAGAGAGGAATTTCATGAAAGATGATAATTGTAACAAGAGCGGCATTTAGTATCTGTGTCATTGAGACCAAGTTTATACGTGACCAGAAGAGACTTCGTGAAGAAGAGAAACTTTATAAATATTTTATTGGACAAAAATAAAGTGTTTCATTCCTACACGAGCAAGTTTTCAATCTCAGAGTGTTCAGAAAACGAGAAACTTCATAAATACAGTATATAAATATAACTTTTCTCATGTTTTTATTAGTAATAATACAGTCTTAATGATAGAAAAATACATTTTAGGGTGAATAACTAGATAACAGAAATACATAACTACATGACCGAAAAAACCACTCAGCATTTTGACAGACTCTCCAGAAAATTTCAAACATGTAACTACATATTTATTTTAATGGTATTTCATTGTAAATATGATTTCGTAAAAATGTCAGTTACTTCTAAATAGTTTTGGTAGATTTCTTACAAACTGAATTTATGACAATACATTCAGCATTTTTTATAATTTATAGTATTTCCCTATTAAATACAAATAAAAACCTTGATAAACATTCTTGTGAGCAAACGTTTCATCCCTTTTTAAACTTTTACCCTTGTGAGGAATGGCTTACATGTTCCCCACCAAGGAAAGAGCTTAATGCAATGAGGAAACGCTTAGGTAAATGTGCCCACATGTCTTACCTGATACCAGCTAGTGCTAACAGCAAACACATAGTTTTTAATTTATTAACTGGTAAGTTCTCCCATGAAGAAGAAGATCTGATGGGAGTGGATAAGAATTCTTTGTCTCATTAGAATAATATTCCAAACACCAGAGGTTTCTCAGCCTTGCGTTCTTTACTTTTGGCTTCTTTATCAAGGAATTAGGATTTTCTCATTTAAATATTGAAAATCACATTTGAAAAAACACACATGCAAACTTAAATAGACAACTTTTAGGTTCATTTAGAGTGAATGTATTTTTTAAATAACATGCAGTAAAGAGAGATTTGTTATACAATAAAGTGTATATATTTAATACACTTCAATCATAAAAGCAACTGCAATTTGGTAAGGCACATTCCTTCAGGTGCTATATCCCAGTTGACTAAATTATTAAAATGACACTGGACAATGCCCATTTTTAAAAGAAGAACGCTAAGACATGGAGAAATTGAACAACTCCACCCAGGTATCAGAGCTAAGAATTGGCAAAGTAAATTTGGAATTATGTTTTTCCTTACCCCAAGGCCTATACTATTAGCTCTGATTCATCTGCCTGGTTTCTAAACTTGCTGGCAGGATGTTTAAAATCTTGAGAATTGCTAAAGAAAATCATTTCAGCTGAGTTAGTTTTCTAAAGTTGTCTCTTAAAAGGAAAAATTTGACTTTAAGAAGTTTGTCCTTGTACTTTCCTGAAGTTATTAATTCCTGAAACAGAAAATAGACTTCACTATGGTTTACTAAGTAATACATTATTATTTTTTGTGACTTGTTTTAAATATTAGTTAATAATAACATGTGGACACCTAAATAAGCCAAAAACTTCACATTCATTGATTGCTTATGCTCACATAATTATAGCTGATGTATCCTCTCTCATCTTTCTAACTTAATGGGTATCCATGAACCCAACACCAGCTATTCTACTTTGTTTCCTTCCCTCCCTCCCTCCCTCTCTCTCTCTCTCTCTCTCTGTCTGTCTGTCTGTCTGTCTGTCTCTGAGTCTCTGTGGCCAAGGCTGGAGTGTGGTGGCATGATCTTGGCTCACTGCAACCTCTACTTCCCAGGTTCAAGCGATTATCATGCCTCAGCCTCCCGAGTTGCTGGGATTACAGGCACCTGCCACCACGCCTGGCTAATTTTTGTAGTTTTAGTAGAGACAGGATTTCACCATGTTGGCCAGGCAGGTCTCGAACTCCTGACCTCAAGTGATCTGCCCGCCTTGTAAAGTGTTGGGATTACAGGCATGAGCCATCACACCCAGCCCAACTAGTTTAATACTACCAGACATGCCATTTAAAAACACTTTAATGTAATTATTTAAACTGGTGTTTCAATATTCTTAACAAGTTTAATGCAGCAATCAAGCCATTTGTTCTGACACTTACTGAAATATGTATTTTATGTTACTTGATTTTTTCCATCACTAAAGGAGTTTTTTTCTACATAGGATTTTATCCCCTTCTCATCTTTGAAAACCCTCAGTCTCTGTATTTTGACATGTTGTGGAAGGGGTTTGCTGTTACTTAGATGGTTCACTACCGTGTTGCATCTGTTTTAGTCAGCAATCTTCTCTCTCCTGCCGCAGTTTCTTTCTCGGGGGTCCATTTTGACGCTGAAATGCTGAAATGCACAGCAGAACAGCAGCGCCCTGGGCCTGGTAACAATAGTGCAATTCACATTGGAAAATTAGAATGCATCACCCACAAATGCATGAAGGAGAGCTTGTGGTTCTCCAGGCAAAACATTACAAGTGACCTGTTCTTAGCAACCCATTTCATCAACAGTGACTTTTATTTATTTGTTTGGATCCCTAATGTGGACACTGATACTGTCAGAAGTGTTTAAACCAGAGCAGCTCCATCTTGAACAGGGGCTGGGTAAAATAAGGCTGAGACCTCCTAGGCTGCATTCCTGAGGACTAAAGCATTTCTCATCACAGGATGAGAAAGGAGGTGGGCATGAGATACAGGTCATAAAGACTATGCTGATAAAACAGGTTGCAGCCCGGCCAAAACCCACCAAAACCAAGATGGAGATAAGAGTGACCCCTGGTGGTCTTCACTGCTCATTATATGCTAATTATAATGTATTAGCATGCAAAAAGACACTCCCACCAGCACCATGACAGTTTACAGATGCTATAGCAACATCCAGAAGTTACCCTATATGGTTTAAAAAGAGAAGGAATTGCCCACCCCTTTCCCAGAAAACTCATGAATGATGCACGCTTTGTTTAGCATATGATCAAGAAATAAAGATAAAAATGGGCAACCAGCAGCCCTCAGGGCTGCTTTGGCTATGGAAGAGCCATTCTTTTATTTTTTTACTTTCCTAATAAACTTGCTCAGTGGATTCACCTTGAATTATTTCCTGAGCCAAACCCAAGAACCCTCTCTTGGGGTCTGGATTGAGACCCCTTTCGAGTAACAATACTAAAGATTTAAGGACTTCTTGTTATCTCCACACGATGTCCCTGACTTTATTTGCCATTGTTATGGTCTGAATTACATCCCCTGAAAGTTCATATGTTGATGCTCTAACCACCAATACCTCAGAATATGACTGTATTTAGAAATGGAGATTTTTAAGAGGTGAATAAAGTGAAGCTGTTAGGATGGACATCAATCCAATCTGATTGGTGTCCTTATAAGAACAGGAAATGAAGGCACAGGCATGAACAGAGGGAAGCCCCTGTGAAGACACAGAGAGAAGGTGGCCGTCTGCAAGTCTCGGAGAGAGACCTCAGCAGAAACCAACTCTGCTGACATTTAATCAGGAGATATTCCCTGACTCCAGAACTATGAGAAAATAAGTTTGTGTTGTTTATACCACCTGGTTGTTAATATTTTGTTATAGCAGATCATGTTGACTAGTAGAAGCTCTGGTGGTTTCTTTTGACCATTAGAGTTCCATGTGCTAGACAACATACCACCCTGTCCCCAGCCAGTCCATGGCCACCTTCTGTCTGTTTCTTCTCTGGGGACTTCCCTCTGTTCATGTCTATGCTCTAATTTCCTGTTCCTATAAGGACAGCAATCAGATTGGATTGGTGCCCAGTCTAACAATTGGTGCTATGTCCTGAAGCTTCTTCTGGGTACGGCCTCTTTTCTCCTCTCAGGGTCAACACATTCTGTGTCAGGTTGTTTTATGATTGACCCTCTTTATTCTCCAACAGACATGAAGGGAGGTGGGGCAGATCTTGAGGGAGCACACATTGTCTCCACATTGTCTCCGAACATCTGAGGGGTGAAGCTCAAGATTTTAGTTGGTGGAGGTGGGGACATTTTGCAGGCTCAAAAAGTCGAGGGAGATTTGGAGGTCCAAGTCCTTGGGGACGTCCCGAGCATCAGCCCAGATGTCTGCATCCCATGTCTTCAGATCTCATTCCTTCCCATCCGGGGTCCTGACTTTGCTGTAGAACATTGCCACAGTCCTTATACCAACTCTATCCAGAGTTTCACGACCCTTATAATTATGTCCTAGGTCTGATCCTTCCAAAGGTGGGAGACAGGAATTCTGTTTCTGTGTTACCAGAGCTGTCCAAACGACCGTCACTTCTTCCTTAATGTGGTAAGTAATCACTCTTTCCTTTCATCAGTACATCCATAGCATTTACTAATAACCACCTACTTTCATCACGCTTTAATTATGACTTCCCACACATCTGTCAACTGCTGGGGATATTGTACCTGCCAGGGCGTTCTCTTCCACTGTTCTCCTATGCCCATTCTCCACCAGCGGAAGTTTTAACAGCCACATGGCTACTGCATGCCACGGGCTACTCAAAATCCACTCCGGAGCAAGGAGGGTCAGACAATTGGCAAGAGACGTTATGCACCTGTAAAATATCATTATAAAGTCTCTTCTTCAGACCAGTATTAGTAGGAAGTGTCTGAGGTGGGATTCTCTGGAAACTAGTCTTTGAGGTCGAGATACTCCAGCAGGAAATGCATGGAGGGCACTCTAGTGATAGATGTGGGTGAGTAAAAGGTCAAGACTGGTCAGAGGGAGGCAAACTGCGATGCCCTTGCAAGAAAGGACCCAGCCAATCTCATGGGGAATCTGGAGCTTGGAAAGCTCTTGAAATTTGCCCGGAATTGAGGTATCATATGCCCTATCTTGGAAAAAAATCACGGCTGCAGCTCCTCCTAGGCAGAAAGAGTCACCTTAAGCAAAGAAGCAATCTTTGGCTGAGGGCGATTCCTGAGGAAAGAGTAGGCAATCTCCTTGAGAGACTCAGCTGTGAGCCTTCAGCTGCCAACACTGTCCACAGCTGTGAGGATTAAGGTTTCTATCTGGAACAAAAGATCAGGGAAGCATCTACGGTTCTTAGAAATCCAGAAAAAAAAAATCGCAGAGAAAAATCTTTAGTTCAAGGATGTATTAATGTGAGACAGAAGTCCTATCTGCTCTACAGTCCATGAGACAGATGGTGACAGAGTTCTCTAGTACCAGTATTAAAAGCAATCCAAGTGTTTCATTCAGCCAAATTGTCTTCCTGGGAACAATGCAGGAACAAACACTGCTTCCATCAGAGTGCAGAGGATGAAGTGTTCTGCCATGGTGTTCTCAATTTTATTACTATTTATAGAAATTAACAATTATAAAATGTTTTAAAATATTGGAACACGGAGAAAAAGCATCATCCTTAATGTTACAGAATGACTGTCTTCATTTTATTAATTTCTCATCTACTACTCACTAACCAGGGACTTTTGCATTGTTGTTACTTCAGGTTATATTCAGTTTGTATCTCGATTTTTTTCTTTTAATATTGCTTTTAAATTTTAAAAATTTATTTGAAATATAATTTGTGTATAATAATTGCATCAAGTAAGAGTGTAAAGTTAGATGAGTTCAAGGGTCATGGACACACACGAACCCATCACCTTGAATAAGATCCAAGATATTTCTGTTTGCTCCCTTCACGCCCCCTCACCCCTAAAAAGAAAAAAAAAAAAGATTCTTTGGGTTCTTTTGTAGTTCAGACCTTTCTCCACCTAGCCCCAGGCAACCAAAGGTATGGATTGTGTTGCTAGTGATTACTTTACATTTTCTAACATTGTCTATAAATGTAATCATACATTGTACACTCTTTCACTAAGCACACTGATTTTGAGATTTAGTTCTGTTGTTCCATGTATCAACAGTTCATTCTTTATATTGCTACATAGTATTCAATTGTCTGGATATAATAAATTTTTGTATCCATTCACTGGTTGGTACCAATTCTAGTTTCCAATTCTGGATTTTCATGAGTATAAACATTTGTACTGGAATATTTTGTAAGCATAAGTTTTTATTTCTTTTGAGTAAATACATAGAAGTAAATTTCTAGGACAAATGGTAAGCGCATGTTTAACTTTTTTTAAGACAACTGCTTTCCAAAGTTGTGGTAGTACTTTAAATTCTCATCAGTAGTGTATGAGAGTTTCGATTGTTCCACGTGATTGTTAATAGTAGATGTTTGTTGGTGTTTTTAATTTTTGCTATTCTACTGAATGCATAGTGGTATCTTTTTGTGGTCACAGTTTCCATTTACCAGATGACATAGCATGTTTGATGTGCTCATTAGCCCCAGTGACTTCCCTTGGCACTCTTATCTAAAACCAAGTGTCCGAGAAATAGATTCACAAAATTGGACAACTGGATTTTAGTAATGGGGCCAAAATAATTTCTGGGTAGGGATTGTGAAAGACTTGCTTCCCGTGTACACACACACACACGTGTGTGTTTGTGTAATCTCTGTGTTCTTCAGATTTTCTGTATTAAAACATTACTTTTCAGCCACAAAGTCAGAAACGTTTTTTGTAGGTGGAAAGGTGTAAGAAAGTTTATAGTCATTGGTTTTCAAACATCTTATAATTATTTTATAAACCCAAGAAATGCAGGATTGTAGGGACTCCTCCTTGGACTGTACTTCTGAAAAGAAGAAACTTCTTTTCAGCCATGCTAATGGAAATGATTTCATCTCTTTTATTAGTCAATTAGTACTATCTTTAAAGTTACCATAATTTCATCTGTTGAAACTGAAATTATTAATGCTGAAGGTTTTCCAAACAATAAGTAAATTATAGTACATGATGTTTGTATACAAAGTTTCTGATTGAACATTTCTTTTTTAAAGCAATTTTAAACTGAAGTCAGAAAATACATGTATTAAATTCAATTTGATTTCATTTTCAGTAATGCTGTCTTATTTAAAAATCACTGATTTACATAAGTTGAATGAGCAAAATTTATGTGATTTATTCTAAATATGGCAATATCAACTTATACGACGATTGTTTCGTTTTCGGGGTTCCTAAAGATTTGCTTGGATTTCCAAAATTTATTGAAAAAATTAATTCTAAAACATAGGATTTGTTTTACATTCTGTCCTATTCCATACAAATTCTAGTATTTTTCATATTAGAATTACATCTAAGGAGATTGATTTTTGGGGGGAACAAGTAAGAGATACAGGGGCTTCTTGAAGATGATGAAAATGAACAGAATCTATTTATTGAGGAGTTTCTGCTCACCGCAGTGTATGGATTAATGGTTACATTTAACTATAAATCCATTAATATGTGATTTCTTAAATCTTCCTTTTCTTCATGTAAGTTTTGTTAGAGGACACAGTCACTGCTAGGTGTTGATTTTCCCACACCAGCTCCTCTCGCTGGGCATGAGTGGGTGCATACAGCAAGAGGATAAATCAGGAATAATGACTCTCACAGGGCATGAGTAGATGCATACAGCAAGAGGATAAATCAGGAATAATGAAAGACCATACAACAACAGCAACAACACCACCTCCATGTAAGTGCAGTCCTGAGTCAACCTCTTGAATTAAATGCCACCAAAGCTTAGGTGCCATTCATTGTTATTGGGCCTACACTAACATAAAAATCAATGAGCCAGGGGCCATAAGGAAATGGAGGGAGGGCTGGCCACACAAAGATGGGGATGGATCACCCAGATGGTAAATTGGATCATACATGTTTGGTTTGGTAAATAATGTCTTACAAGGGGCCTTGCAACTGCCTTTAAATCATGCATGTTAAAATGTGGAATTTGTCCAAAGAGCAAAACTGAGGCCCATTGGTACAACTCACACACAGAAGTGCCAAGTCTCGGGTGCTAGGCTGTCCCACAAAGTGTGCACCTGGAGCCTGTCTGTCCTGCAAGGCACTAGACGATAGAGTGGTCTCCCCATTGTTTCTTATCTGGGATCCATCAATTAATTAATTGGCCCCTTCTGCCTAGATTTCCATAATCTCAGTATAGAAGAGAAGAGTGTAGAAAGCGTCTGATGGCCTGGAACCTACCAAGATGAAAACCATGAGAAAGTATCCAAGAGTTGTGTAGGTTTAAGTATATATCCACACTTCCCCTTTGCAAAAACCAAGGATAAGGTCTTCTCAATATATTATCCTCCCAAAACTCACCCCCGACCGCCACCAAAAAAAAAAAAAAATATATATATATATGTAAAACACCAGTGAAAACACTTCCTATTGCTTTAAAAAGCTAGGAACAGACTGTATAATTGTGGCTTGACTTGGTCCTTCTTGCTGATTGCAACAACATGGACACACACACACTGTTTGGACTTCAGAAACATGTGGCACAGAACACAAACTCTCACTTGTTGGAATAGTCATCAGACTTTCCCTGAGAATAAAAATTAGTGACACAAAGTGAATCATACCTTTAAAATTGCCTTTCAAGTAATCAGACAAAAAAATAAAAAATAATAAAAAAAAGAGATTGTGCTGAGTCACTCAGAACTAGAAATAAATTTCGGGACAACTTTTACAGGCTCAGAGAACTGGCTTCTTTTCTTATCTTCAAGGCAGTTTCAGCTGAACTAAAACCAGTGCTGGCATTCGGAACACAGTTTAAGAAGATATAAAGAAACTAAGCATGCTAAAAAAAAAAAGCCTCTTATGCCTATAAATCTATCATTTTAGGGTCATACAATGACAAGTGGGTGGGTCAGGATCGGCAAAACTTGATTCAAGTACACTACTGAAGAGGCCTGCTGGTTTGTGGTTCCTTTCCCCTGTTGAACTCCTTCCTGTGACTTCTTTGATATTTATTTTAGGTTATGTTCACAATTCTCAAACAGATATCTTTAATACTGAGGGATCAATTTAAGTAAGGACGAAGGTCTTTTGATTATACACATACAGAAAATACTGTGTCGTCGATAAGGCTTCCTAAGTTATAAAGTGATATTTCCTTAATTTGTCTAAACTAGATAATTAAATAGGGTGATACTACTTTAATAAGACATTCAAACTGGCAAGTGGATCCATTTGATGGAAATGCAAAACCAAATGATGTAAACATTCAGCTTGTTAGTGGAATCCTTCACAACATGGGGTCTCTCACCCTGTCATTTTTAGTGACAAGAAAATTTAGCTTCAGCAGCTGAGGCTGTTGAGAAAGATTGTACCCCATCAGCACCGAAATGGATAACATTTCAAAACCAAAATAGCTTCATTTTGTTACAAAAATATATTTTTTATGAATTTTACTGAGAATACACTTTTAAAAAGAGTAAAAGGTCCCTCATTGTG